GTGACGGCCCTCCCAGCACCCCCACCCCTCCAGCCCGCCACCAGGGCAGAAAACTCCAATGCTTCCAGGGCACAGGCCAGTAACAAAGATGAATGCAATTGTTTTTCGGTGTTGGCAACTAACTTGGTATTTTTGAAATACTGCAGGCCACATGTGACCCAGGGCCACGGTTTACAACGTCTGATTCATTCATTTATTCATTCATTCACGCTGCCTGTAGCTCAGAAGGGACTGAGGTTGAGAACGGGGAGGAAGCACTCTGAAAACGTAAAACAAGGGGTTGTTGATGTTTTATGTTACCGGAGCAGGTACACAAACTCGAAAGTGCGAGAGATGTAAAATTTAATTCTTCTGTGTCTGAACTGAACGTCCACCTCCAGCCATTTCCGGCTCCCTAAGTGGCTAGAACATTGTGTCAGGAGGTGGTATTTGAACACCTGTCGTTTGAGATGTTAACTACAGACCCACGTGGAGGTGATGAGTGGGCAGCTAGACGCCTGCAGACAGGATTTTGAGAGTCCTTAGCACAAAGGTGGGGTTTAAAACACCCTAAAGAAGAATTAGAATAACTACAGGCCGATTTAAGTGCCACCGAGTCCTGGCGGCACAACGGTTAAGTGCTCGGCTGCTAACCAAAAGGTCGGTGGTTTGAACTCACCCAGCAGCTCCGTGGAAGAAAGACCTGATGATCTGCTTCCATAAAGATTACCAAAAAAAAAAGAAAGAAAAACCAGACCTGTTGCCACTGAGTTGATTCCGACTCACAGCAACCCTACAGGACAGAGCAGAACTGCCCCACAGGGTTTCCCGAGTGCAGCTGGGGGATTCCAACAGTGGACCTTTTGTTTAGTCGCCCAGCTCTTAACCACCACACCGCTGGGGCAGTTCTGCTCTGTCCCGTGGGGTCGCTATGAGTCGGAATCGATTTGACGGCACCTAACAACGACAAGCATAAGATGTCATGCGAACATAGAGGAAGGGGCAGCTGCATTAGTTCAAGGAGCTGGACTCAAAGTGTGGGCCCAGGACCAGCAGAATCAGCAGCACCTGGGACTTCGTAGAAATGCAAATTCTCAGGCCCCCCTGCAGACCTACTGAATCAGAAACTCTGGGGCAGGGCCCGGGAATCTGTATTAACAAGCCTCCCCACCCCCCACCATGATGGCTCTGATGCTAGCTCAAGACTGAGAAGCCTACTGGCTAGAGGAGGATTCAGACACGGAGTCCCATGAGACATCGATGGTTGGATGTCTTTTGTGTGACCAAATTCTGTCTTAGTTATCTAGTGCTGCTACAACAGAAATACCACAAGTGGATGGCTTTAACAGAGAAATTTATTCTCTCACAGTCTAGGAGGCTGGAAGTCCAAATTCAGGGTGCCAGCTCCAGGGGAAGGCTTTCTCTCTCTGTCAGCTCTGGGGGAAGGTCCTTGTCATCAATCTTCCCCTGGTCTAAGAGCTTCTCAGCATAGAGACCCCAGGTCCAAAGGATGCACTCTTGTTTCTTGGTGGTATGTAGTCCCCCTGGTGGGCCACAATCACCCTATCACACAGTCCCGACCAGTCACCTGGCGGGGAGCCACAAGACTATGGCTAGAAAGGCCACATAAAAGTAATCAATCGTGCCGCAGGGCACCCCCCGGCCTTTCTAGCCACGGTTCTTTCATATTTGGAGGATAACGTCCTCTTCCCAATCACTTTACCAGTCCAAAACAGTCATTAACAGTTAGCCTTTCCATAGTGTGAAGAGTCCACACCCAGGTGAGTTTAGTCAGGTGCCAGCCATTCAGATCTGTTGCAGGTGTCCCTTTGACCCGGTCACGTTCTCCAACAATTTGGAGACGATGCCTTTGCTTTCCCTTGGAAAGTGGCCCCCAGCCTCTCCCCTAGGGGGCCGGTGATACCAACAGGAAGTTGCCAAGGCTTGTGGAAAAACTGGAACCTTCATCCACTGCTGGTGGGAATGCAAAATGGTGCAGCTGCTGTGGAAAACGGTGTGGTGGTTCCTCAAAAAGTGGAACGTAGAACTACCTTATGACCGAGAAATCCCAGTCCTAGGTGTGTACTCAGAAGAAGTGAAGGCAGGAATGCAAACAGAAATCTGCATGCCAGTGTTCACTGCAGCGCTGTTCACAAGATCCAAAAGGTGAAAACAGCTGACGTGTCTATCAGCAGATAAATGGATAAACACAATGTGGTACGTACACACAGTAGAACAGTACTCAGCCATAAAGAGAAATTTAAAAAAAAAAAGCCATAAAGAGAATGGTTCTGATGCACGCTATGACACGGATGGATTGTGAAAACAGTCACAGAAGGACAAATATTATACGCTCCTACTTATACACAATAAGCAAATGCATTGAGACCAAAGTTTATCAGTGGTTACCAGGGATGGCAGTCATTGTTTAGGGGGCACTGAGCTACTTTTAATGGTGGTGGAATAATCTGGAAAAGGACAGTGAGAATGGTTGCGCAACATGATGAACATAATCCACGTCAATGAATTGACATTCTCCACGACCCGTCAGTCACTGGCTTGGTGGCTGCAGTGCCTTCAGCTGCCATTTTTTCACAAAAGAGTGAGCAGAGACCAGTGGGAAATGTCCTCAGTGGGCAGCCCACCCTCAACGCAAGATGCAAGAGATTCCCAGAAACGAGCACCAGGGACTTACAAGATCCTCGTGGGCTTGGGTTCCTTTTTGCAGGCAGGCAGCTCGCTGTGATCCTGCGGCTTCCACTGCTGGTCACTCAGGAGATGGCTAATGCACGAGCATCCCCCAGATGTTTGTGACGCCGTCGGGAACAGCAGTGACAATGACTGTTCCATGCACGGCAACTTCATAGTCTTGGGGCTCCTCTTAATTATGTATGTATTCTGGAGCGGCCCGGCTCCCTCCCACCAGAGCTCAGAAGGGTAATAAATGAGGACAGTCAATGGCCTGTGAATTACAACATTGATTAAAGAAGCGATGACTGATAGAACTCTCACTGGGCTATTAGGCTAACGCCTGCCCAGATCCTGCACGGTGTTCACCTCCTAATGACAAGCCTGGGACAGCGACGGAAATTGGTTTCTGTCCTGAGTCAACACGTAAACATTTTTAAACCAATCTTGACCATGAGCGAGAAGATCCAGCCGTGTGTCCCCTCCCAGCTGCTCTGCACCAGTGTCTCAGCCAGATGGAGAAATTCTCTCAGCCCAGCCCTCACCAGCTGCCCTCCAACACAAGTGGGTTGAAGATGAAAACTGGGCCCACAGTGGCCATCCACAGTGCCCTGAACCAAGGAAAGAGGGTGTCATGTCACAAAGAGCTCATTGCTCAGCATCGGGTGTTTTTAAACCCTCCCTCCCCCCTACCAGCGGATCCTGCTTCTATAGGAGTCCACAGTCTAGAGGGAGGCAGATAGGCAAATGGACAGTTATAACTTAGTGCTGTGTGAGCAGTTCACGAGTGACTTCATTAATGATGCAGTTTTACCCAAAACTGTGTGTGTGTGCGCGTGTGCGTGTGCGTGTGTGTGTGTGTGTGTGTGTGCATTTGCCTAGCAAGAATGGGCTCTGTGTGTATTCTCAAAGGAGTCAGTGGCCCAAAACAGTTAGGAACCAGCACCTGAGATCCTTTTGGTGCTTATGGTGTTCCTGATGCTCTTGGCACCATCTCATCTCAGTCTCTTACCTCATTTTTCCCCACCCCAGGTCCTTGTTTGGTTGTCCTGAAGCAGGTGTCCCCATGAAGAGAAGACTGTTCATCCCTCCCTCCATCCATCCATCCATCCATCACCCATTCACTCATCCATCCAGCCAGCCATAACCCATTTACTCATCCATCCATTCATGCATGAATCCATTCATACGTCCACCCATCAGTCTGCCTATCCATCCATTCATCCATTATCAATCTATCCCTCTATCCATCCATGCATTTATTCATCCATCCACCTATCCATCCGTCCCTCCACTCATCCATCCATCCATCCATCCATTAATCTATCCATCAATCTGTCCATCCACCCATTCACCCATACATACATCTATTCACCCATCCGTCCATTCATCCATCATCAATCTGTCCATGCATGCATCCATGCATCCATCCATCCATCCACTCATCCATCCATCCACTCATCCATCCATCCACTCATCCATCCATCCATTCATCCATCCATCCAGTCTACGTTTTGCTGAGCTCCTGACTCATGAACAGCTGGTGTTGGGATCCAACAGACCAACAATGAATAAGATGTACTTCTTGCCTTCAAGGAGTTTAGTTTTGCAGATGTCACCTGGGGCCCCCTCAGCTCTCAGCCACAGCTGCAGTGGGCAGCTTCATGCAAGTCCAGGCTCACTTTGTAACTGCAGAGTCCCCCTGCATGTCTCTTTCTGCTTTCTGTCTGAGCCTTCCCAGATGCCACAGGCCCGTGTGCAGTCGCAGCCTGGAAGTGCAGGGGAGTTAACGCCCCAGGAGGTAGCCCCTGCCCTGTGGGAGATAGGAGCTGGTAGATAAGTACACCCACCTTTTAATCTTCAGGTGGACAATTCTAGATGCTCCGCATGAGGCCCCAGAGAAACTGAGCCTGATGCACAGCAGCCACCTCCAAACTGCACCACAAGTTTCTGTTTGGGATGATGAAAAAGGCTTGGGAGTGGATGGTGGTGAGGGTCACACAACATGTGGATGTAATTAATGTCACTGAATTGTACACCTACAAACGGTTAATACAGCAACTCTTATGTGGAAAGAATATATTACTGCAGTAAAATTTATCAGAAGAGTGTGCCTTTCTATTGCCTGTTCCCCGTTCCCTGTCTCCCTCACCGCTGCTCCCTGGGGTCGCCGGTCAAGTAAACTGCCTGCACCAAACCCTTGTCCCAGGCTCTGCTTGGGGAGGAAGCTCAGTGAACACAGTGTTTTGCCAAGGACAGGACAGAGGGGAGCGAGCCGGTCTCCTGGGCCCCGTGAACGTCTCCTCCACCCCCTCCGTCTGTCTTTGCAGGTGTCCGAGCGCTGTGACTACGTCTTTGTCAATGGCAAGGAGATGAAAGGCAAGGCGGACGTGGTGGTGAACTTCACGTACCAGCACCTGAGCGCCCCCCTGCACATCACCGTGTGGGTGCCCCGGCTGCCCCTGCAGATTGAGGTCTCTGACACCGAGCTGAGCCAGATTAAAGGCTGGAGGGTCCCCATCATGGCCAGTAAGAGGTGAGCCCGGGCCGGGAAAGGCTCCACAACCAAGCCAAAGAACTTGCCATCCAGCTGACTCTGACTCATGGAGACCCCACGTGCATCAGAGCAGAATTGTGCTCCAGAGGGTTTTCAGTGGCTGATTTTTCAGAAGTAGATTGCCAGGCCTTTCTTCCAAGGTGCCTCTGGGTGGACTTGAACCTCCAACCTTTCAGTCAGTAGTTGAGTGTTTAACCGTTTGTGCCACGATAATAATGGCTTTCTTTGCCAACCATAATGCTGAAGGAGCCAGTCGTGGACCTGGTGCGTGGCAGGTGCGAATAGGATCACAAGGACCGCCATTTCCCGAAATCCTAACAGGAAGCCCCTGAGGAAAGCAAGGCTGCGGGGCAACTTGGGCAGGCACAAAGGGTGACCAGTGGCTGGCTGTTTGGACGCTGCAGCTGGGCGTCTATTACACTGTCCCTTGAAAGTGGCCCAGGATGTCACGAGGGAAGTCACAAGTTTTCTAACCCCTCAGCCCCCGAGGAATCTGAGGCTTGGTGTATTTTCTCCAAGTGAAGTGGCGAAGCCCTCTTCCTTCTGTGCTTTAGGAATACAAGCTTGGAAGGCTCTCTTCAGATCCCATTATGGAATACAATTTAATCCCATGTATGCTGACAGTACACTTACTTACAATAGAAGCAAAACAAACAAACAGACCCTCTAACTTATTTATGCTGTGTGGCTCTGGACTGTCACATGTGGGAGCTCTGGTTTTGTCTTTTCAGGACCCCCGTCTCTATGGACCCCCAAGGAAGCATGTGTTAGCTGAGTGAGGGACTCCAGCTGAGTTGCCGGTTTCCTGACTGCAGTCTGCCCCCCCCACCAAACCACCAGGGGCTTCATTTTAAGGGACAAACTCGAGTACATCTCGAGAAGAGTAATTGCAAAAGGGGGTGTCACATCCATTTGCTATGGGGAGGCCTTGGAGGGTTGGCCTGCTCGGGGGAGAATGGCCAAGAGTCCGTGTAGAACGTCAGGACCCCTGAGAGGCTGGGAGAATGGGTGTGAAACAGTAGTTCAGCTTAACTAGCAAAAACATCTGCTTTGAGCAGTATGGAGCCCCGGTGAACAAATGGTCGGCAGTTCGAATCCACCAGCCATCCCTTGGAAACCCTATGGGGCGGTTCTATTCTGTGGTATAAGGTTGGTATGAGTCAGATTGACTCGATGGCAATGGGTTTTTGGTTTTGAGTGATATGCTCTTTTAAGATCTATCTATATGGGCTCAAAGTTACAACAGCAAGTTGAAAGATATAGTCAGGAAACTTAGGAGCAGTGAACTGATGTTCATGGGGAGGAACAACTCAGAAAAGGAGGCTGAGAATGGTTGGACAACTCAGACTGTCATCAATGTCCCTGGATTGTACACGGAGAAACTGCCGAACAGGTGTAGGTTTTGCTGTACATATTCTCAACAACAACAGAGAGAGAGACAATGGGTGTGTTCCGTGTCCTGAGGACTGGTGGTCCCGAGTGGCCAGGATGATGGATGTCCCATGTCCCTGAGGAGGGCAGAACGGGGACTGGCTAGATTCAAATCCAGGCTCTACCACTTACCAGCTTGTGGGCTTGGGCAAGCTTCCCGACCCTTCTGTGCCTCACTTTCCTCATTTACACATGAGAATAATTAGCTATGCCTCACAGTGTTATGGAATTAAAACAGTTAACATGTGGGAGATGACAGCCGGGCCTGGCACATCTCAAGAAAGTAATATCGTGCTGTCCAATAGAACTTTCTTTTGTGGTGAAATGTTCTAGAACTACCCTGTCCAATATGGAGCCCATGCAAACGGCTAGTGTGACTGACGGACTGCATTTTCAATTTTGTTGAATTGTCATTCATTTAAATGAAAATATAAAGAGCCACACGTGGCTAATGGCTAATGGACAGTGCAGGCTTAGTAAATATTAGCTGTTAAGTCTAATGTTTGTCAATAAATGTACCCAAGGAGACTGCTAACCCTCTGGCTGCCTGGTGATAGAACGGGCACCCCCTGCCTTGGATGTGGTCTTGCCGAGGTTGCCGTGGGCTGCCCCTCCTGTCTGCATGTCACTCGGAGGATTGTGGTCCCACCCCTGGAGCTGAGGTCTCCCTCTGCTTTCCCATAAGGCCCACTCGGGACAGCGAGGACGAGGAGGAGGAGGAGCGGCGGCGCCGGGGCTGTGCCCTCCAGTACCAGCATGCCACGGTGCGGGTCCTCACCCAGTTTGTGGCCGAGGGCACCAGCCCGTGGGGCCAGCTGAGCCACCTGCTGAACCCCGCCTGGCAGCTCGACATCACCCACCTGGTGGCAGACTTCATGAAGCTGGAGGAGCCCCGCGTGGCCACGCTCGAGGACAGCAGGGTCCTGGTCGGCCGGGAGGTTGGCATGACGACCCTCCAGGTGGGAGCTGGGATTCCTGCCTCCCTAGCCCTGAGCACTGACCAGCAGAGGGGCTCACGAGATGGGCGGGTCATCGTGTGGGGGACCCTTGCCTGCCGTGATGGCTGTCTGTGGTATCACAGGGGCAGGAGGGTGAGCACTTGGAGCACAGGTGGACCAGCGCTCTGCACTGCACTCTGCCTCCAGCAGAACTGAGATGGCCATATGCCCCTAGCCCCACAGCCCGCTCTCAGCTGCCGCATCCTCCATTCCCACCTCACCCAATCCCCCACACACCTCCTAGAATAACCGTCTCCTCTCTACGGCTTCCTCCAGGGAGCGGTGAGGCCACCTTCTGCCTTTCCCCCCACTTTCTCTTGGTCACCGTCTCGTTCTGCCCTGTATTCACTCAACAGAGTCTTCACACGCCTACACCTATCTCTTGCTCAAAGAAATCCCACATTTCTGGTGGGATTCCAGGAAAGGCGACTGGGTACTGGAGGATATTTGGGCCAGAGAGGGGCTCGACCACTCAAGTCCCACCCTGCAGACCCCACCTCTGCAGTGCCGGGCTGGCCTCGACACAGCGACCCGGGGTGCACACGGGCGGGGCCCTCCCCCACTTCCCTGCACACCCGCGCCCAGCCTTGGCCGACGAGACGAGGCCACAGGTCAAGTTCCTGCAGACGATGTGCTGTGGCGGGTGAGGGTGGACTCCCTATTTCCGTCCTCGGTGAACCCCGCAGAGCACGTGGAACGTGACCTGGGCTGCACAGGGTCAGGCTGCGCGCGATTCTCCGTGTCTGGCAGGATGGCCACAGGCCAGGCTGTGCACTGTACAAGGGTGTCTCACCTGGGCTGGGGGGCTGTTCCCTTTGAGAGACTGCATGGATTTAATCGCTGTTCCAGTTTTCCAGCACTTGGGGAAGGGGTGACTTTATCTGATTCTGACCCAGGCTCGGTATGGACTAGGATGTGTGGTGAGGTGGGTGTGTGACCCCTTCGCCTCGTGTCTTGGATGCAGGAAGCATTGCTGGCGAAGGTTCTGGCCCCTGGACTCGGGTGTGATGCTTGTCTGTGTCCGCCCACCCACAGGTGCTGTCCCCACTGTCAGATTCCATCCTGGCGGAGAAGACAGTGACCGTGTTAGATGACAAGGTGGCAGTTACAGACCTGGCCATCCAGCTGGTCGCTGGGCTGTCCGTCACCCTCCACCCCAGTGCCGGCAACGGCAAGGCCGTCACAGCTGTGGCCACGGCCGAGGAGCAGCTGCGGGCCCCCAAACAGGTAGGGGCGTGGGTGCCCGAGGGCCAGAGGGAGTGGGTGGGGATGGAGCCGGACCAGAGCAGGGGGAACGGGGAGGAACAGGCCGATTAGCCGAACCATGTTCTAGAACGGGCTGTGTCATCACTGCAGACGAAGATGCTCCTCTTTAAGGCAACAGAGGCCAACGTGACAGGGGGCGGGCAGGGGGCCTCACGGACAGCCGGGGTCCAGCCCCCTCCCCCTCCCCTCTAGTCTCCTCTTAACAGCCAGAGATCTTATAAAAATCTAAATCAGATCATGCCTTTCATCTGCTTAAATGCTCCAGCGGCTCCCACTGCACTTGGAATAAACCAGTCCTCCTCACCGTCCCCAGGTGGTGCGAACCGTTACCGCCCTCAGCTGCCAGCCAACAGCCTAGGTGTTCCAGTGCACCCAGAGGTGCCTTGGGAGAAAGGCCTGGCGATCTACTTCTGAAAAATCAGCCACTGCAAACCCTACAGAGCACAGTCCTACTCTGACACACGTGGGGTCACCATGAGTCAGGGGTGACTCCACGGCAACTGGTTTACTGAGGACGACTACGGATAATCCAGGAACATCGCCCTGCCTTAAGGTCCACTGTACCGCATTACATAGCCTCGTCACGGAGGTGGTAGCTCACCATATACCCAGGTTCCGGGGGTTGGAAGAGGACATCTTGGGCGGAGGGCCAGTCTGGAGACTGCCGACCCCAAGGGGGCAGTCGCAACCTGACTGAGGGTGCGGAGCGGCTACTGGAGGGGCCTGGGACGCCTGCAGCTCCAAGGCCAGCCCACAGGCTTCCTTGCTCTTCCCTGGGGGCAGGGAATTGGTGCACTGTGTTCTGATTTGCAAGGAACTGGGGACAGAGGGGCACGAGAGAGACAGCGGGCTGCGAGGTGCTGAGAGCAGGGTCGTAAATTAGGGTGAACGATTGGCATCACCACCTCCGTGGCATGGGGCAGGGCTGCCACTCCCCCCGTCAGACAGCCCATCTGTCTCTGTCGCTGGTGGTGATTGGGAGACCTCAAGGCGGACTCGGGGATTTATGGATTTTGCTCGTCCCTTCTGCAGACAGGACTCTTGGAAGGGCAGCGTTCTACATCCTTCCTGGCCTGTGTTCTTTGGAGACATTCAGAATTTGTCGTCTGTGGGGGAACGCTTGGTGTCTCCTGGGACAGCCACGTTCTCACGCTGCTGTACTGAGCTAAAGGAGAACTGTGTCTCCAGCGTGCGCGCGGCAGGGCTGGTGGAGTGGGTTTTGGTGAGCCCGGGGTGTCCAGAGGGTTTTAGTTCACGCTGTCTGCCATTCAGGGGGCTCAATTTATGTTATGTGCTTTCTCCGCCCAGAGTTTGTGAAGCAAAAATAATTCAAGGTGAACAGTTGGCCAAGATGAGCCTGGCTGCTGTGTTAACGGTGTTGTAGCTCAGCCCTGGGCGTGTCAAAGGCTGCACCTTGGGCTCGATACTGTCAACTTTAAATGCAAAATGTGGAAGCGTTTTAAACCCAATGTGCTTTTCCCCATATGCCTCGTTTGGTCCAAGGAAAGCTAAACCCCCAAACCAATCAGCTGCCTTGGAGTCACCTCTGACTCAAGGCCAGCCCATGTGTGTCAGAGTAGAACTGTGCTCTGTAGGGTTGTCAGTGGCTGAATTTTCAGAAGGAGATCACCAGGCCTTTCTTCTGAGGCATCTCTGGGTAGACTTGAACCTCTAGCCGTGTCCTGGGGAGTAAGTCCTTCTCTGTGAAGACACTTTGGTGAACATGTTCAAGGATGACTTTGTAAAGCAAGGCAATTGGAGCCGAGCACTTAGGGGTTTTTGTTTTCCCGTAAGGATTGTGCTGGGGCTGTTACCGACGTCTACATTTGTTCTGTTTACATTAAGGTGATATCTGTTACCTGAATGCTGTCTCCTAGGTTCGGCAGCCCCTGGGTGTGGAGCTGGGGTCCTGCCCCCTGTTCTGGGGGGGCAGGCCTGCCCCAGGCGGACCTCTCACTGTTTCTCTCTAGGAAGCCTTGGTCAGCACGTGGCTCCAGTTTAGCGACGGCTCGGTGACGCCCCTGGACATTTACGACACCGACGACTTCTCACTGGCCGCCACCTCCCTGGACGAAGCCGTCGTTTCTGTCTCCCCGGGCTTCTCCCCAAGGTGGCCCGTAGTGGTGGCTGAGGGCGAAGGCCAGGGGCCGCTGGTCCGCGTGGACATGACCATCGCAGAGGCCTGCCAGAAGTTCAAGCGCAAGAGCGTGCTGGCCATGGGCGTCGGCACCGTCAGGGTCAAGTTTGGGCAGAGCCAGGCCGAGCCCAGTCCCGGCCAGGAGGACAAAGACGAGGAGATCGAGAACCACGCCAGCGACCGCCGGCAGAAGGGCCAGGACGGGCACACCCCGGGCAGCTCCTCCGGGGGGCGCGAGGAGGGGGCCCTTCGGAAAGCCACCGCCACGTCCCGGTCGCTGCCGGACAACAAGGCGGTGAGGACCAGCCGGCTGGACGGGGGGCGGCTGCCAGGGGAGGGGCAGCTGCAGAACATCCCCATCGACGTCACCAACTTCCCGGCCCAGGTGGACGCGCCCCGGGCGGGCGCGGGGCTGCAGGAGAGCGGGCTGCGGCCTGCGCCTCGGGGGCTGAGCGACCTGGAGATCGGCATGTACGCCCTGCTCGGGGTCTTCTGCCTGGCCATCCTCGTCTTCCTCATCAACTGTGCCACCTTCGCCCTCAGGTTCCGGCACAAGCAGGTGCCCCCGGAAGGCCAGGGCCCCATGACGCACTCCCACGACTGGGTGTGGCTGGGGAACGAGGCGGAGCTCCTGGGGAGCCTGGGGGACCTGTCCCCGCCCCAGGACGAGCGCACCACCATCCTGGACGGCGGGTTGGGGGGCCGCGAGGAGAGCAACCTGCTCCTCGACGGGGGCTCCCAGAAGCAGGCGCAGGGGCAGCCGCCGCGCGCCGCGGACCCCGGGGGCCGGGCCGAGCCCCTGCACTCGCCCACCTCCCGGCGGAAGCGGGTCCAGTTCACCACCTTCACCGCCATCCCCCCGGACGACGGCTGCCCCACGGTCAACTCCATCCTGGGCAGCCACGGCGAGGACATCCAGTGGGGGTGCCAGGACGCGGGCAACGCCAAAGACCCGAGAGACTACCCGGGGAAATTCAAGGAGAAGGCGTAGGCCCCCAGCCCCTGGCCAGAGGGCCTGGCGCCTGGACGCCGTCCTCCTGTCCCGCCGCCCATCTCACCCTGAGAACCGGGCGCCAGGGGAGCAGCAGGAGCGGGAATGGGCTGAGCCGGGCAGGGCTGGGAGACCAGTGGGCCGTTTTGAAGCCGGGAAGGGACGTTTTTGTATCGAGGGTTTTTTAGTGGTGGACGACGGTGGGTTTTTGAAAGTCGACGGGCGGAACAGACTCAAGTGGGCTGACCGAGGGCTGAACTGCACAGGGCAAGGTGAGGAAGAGTATTTTATGACTCAACATATACTACAGACAAGCTACCAAAAATTATTTGTTAAAAAATGCAAAAAGACAAATAAAAAGAGATAGAAATCAGAATCTGTTTATATTTCTAATAAAGGAGCAAAATCTAAAAACAGGGCCTGCTAAGAGACATCTTCCATCGTAATGCACCGTTTCCCTTTCGGAAGGGCGGCCTGTCCAGCTGGGTTGGGGAGGAGATGTTTCGGAGCATGGAGCGGCTTGTGGGAGAGGCCTGGGGATTTTTCTCATCCTCCTTGATCATCTTTTCTTTTCCACTCAGCTTGTATTCCTTTCTTTTTGTGTCCATTTGGTTTATATTTGTTTATTTTTGAGTGTCAAGTGGTATATATTTAAACACAGATCCTGTTCCTCTCCATTAGGTGAATTCTTGGAAGCAGCGTCAAGGAATCTATTCTTTATGAAGTAATTCTGACGCTTTTCCATGCCCCTCCAGCCTTGTTGATATTTGTTCAGTTTTTACAGTTTGAGGGATCCTCTCAGATCCTTCCGGGAGGAGGGTGGGGCCCTGCCAAGCACCTTTGACCCTCCATCACCATCACCACAGGGGACAGGCAGTCAGATGGGCCACCCTGGGCACCCACCTACCCTCGGCTACCCCAGCACTCCCACGTGGGGGCACGGCAGGAGCACTGGTGCCCAAGAATAATCCATGGCGGGAAAGGTCTATTGTGAGACATGCGATGTTGAAAAATGGACAAAAATGAAAAGTATTCACAGCTTCTAAATTATCTTTCTTTCTTTGGTGGGTTAGGTGTACCCACATTAATGGAAAAAAAAATCTGTTAGATTGTTAATTCCCTGTGTTTTTTAACAGTAATTACATAGGCAGCTCGCTCCCAGCACACGCTCAGCCACAGTGCAGTCAGCGTGGCAGGGAAGGGCACGTGTGGCAAAGTGAACCCCTGGAGGTCACCAGACAGTGGGTGTCTGGAGCAGGAAGACGTCTGGCCGGCACCGCGTGCCCGCAGCCAGAGTTGCTCTAGATACCCAGGGGTGCTTGTTCTTCTTCCTTAATTACTACAATTAATAGCTACGAAAGGGGCCTGGAAGCCTCATAACCTCAGCTGGACCTTTAAAAAAGAAATTTCTGGCGCATATTATAGACGGAAAGAAAGAAATATTTATTTATACCTGTGATGCCAGTTGTCATTAAAATGCTTCCCGTCGGGATCTTGTGGGCTATTTCTTTCATTTACAAATATTCAGCGACATAATTAATTGTGATGTATGTAAGCAACAAAGCACCCCCACTTGAGCACTCTTCCCACGCACGATCCGGTGACATTAATCACGTCCGTCACGCTGTCCCAGCATGTCCTTGACCGTTCCGTGTTTCCATCACCTTCACAGGAGCCCAGCATCCAGTGGGGTAGTGCCTACTGCCTTGAGCTCCTACTCCTCACCTCCCCCAAAAACGTACAACTTGCTGAAGAAATAAACTGCCTGTTAGGCTAAAGTGGAAATGATACATTGGCCAATCAGTTTTCCTCCCAGTTTCTGGACTGGCCCAGAGTACTTCCTAATAAGGAAGGCTTTCGGGCACTTACCAACGCCATCTACAGCGCAGCGTCTCACACCTGAGCGTGTGCAGGACCTCCTCAGGGCTGCTGGGAACACAGGTAAGTGGCTGGGCCCACCACAGAGGGTCTGACTCAGCGCGGCTGGGTGGGGTCCGGGAATCTGCATTTCCAAGTTCCAGGCATTCAGGTGCTAAAGGTCTGGGGACCCACTCTGAGAACCCTGGTTTACATCAAAGAAGGAAGGAGTGACGGTGGAAAACTGTTGTCACTGGAGGTGTGAGTGGGATTGTTGTTTCTGTTGGTTGGTTGGGGAAGAGAATTTTTGATAGAAAAGGAATTACTGGTATTGTTTTTAAACAATAGCTTTATTGAGGCAATTCAGATACCGACAATTGGCCCATTTAATGTGTAAGTCAGTGCATTTTGCGGTACATTCGTAGAGGAGAGCAGCCGTCGCCGTCATCAAATTTTGAACTCCATATTCATTACTGTTGTTGTTGGGTGCTGTCCAGTCGACTCTGACTGACAGCGACCGCGTGTGACCGAGTAGAACTGCCCCGTACGATTTCCTAGGCTGTGATCTTTTACCACAGCAGATGACCAGGTGTCTTAGTTACCCAGTGCTGCTGTGACAGAAGTGGAGCCCTGCTGGTGTGGTGGTTAAGAGCTCAGCTGCTAACCAAAAGGCTGGCAGTTCAAATCCACCAGCTGCTCCTTGGAACCCTATGGGGCAGGTCTACTCTGTCCTGTAGGGTCGCTATGTGTCAAAATTGACTCAACAGCATTAGGTTTGGTTTTATAACAGAAATACCTCAAGTAGATGGCTTTAACAAACATAAATTTATTCTCTCATAGTCTAGGAGGCTAGAAGTCTGAATTCAGGGCACCATCTCCAGGGAAAGGCTTTCTCTCTCTGTCGGCTCTGGGGGAAGGTCCCTGTCATCAATCCTTCCCGGTCTAGGAGTTTCTCAGCGCAGGGACCCCGCGTCCAAAGGACACACTCTTCTCCCAACCCTTCTTTTTAGGTTGGCAGGAGGTCCCCATCTCTCTGCTGGCTTCTCTCTCCTTTTACCTCTTGTAAGATAAAAGGTGATGCAGGCCACACCCCAGGGAAACTCCCTGTACATCGGATCAGGGCTGTGACCTGAGAAACAGTGTTTCATCCCACCGAATCCTCTTTAACATAACCTAACCTTGCCTCATTAACCACAGACAGAGATTAGGATCAACAACACATAGGACAATCACATCAGATCACAAAATGGAGGACAACCACACAATACTGGGAATCGCGGCCTAGCAAGTTGACACGTATTTTTGGGGGACACAATTCAATCCATGACAGCAGGTCTTTTTTCCTGAGGAGCTGCCGGCTGGGTTTGAACCAGCAACCTTTCAGTTAGCAGCTGAGCACTTAACCATTGCGCCACAAGAGCTCCTGTACCTATTGGAAGGCACCCCTATTAATACTGAATTTTACCTGAACCCTGTGATACTAGGAGATGAACCTGGGTCTCCCACATGGAAGCTGAGAATTGTACCACGGAACCACCACTGCCCCCAAGTTCTTTCTAGTGGCCCAAAATATTCAGGCATTTATCCACTAGAAGACCAAATACAGGCATATTGGGCTGGTCTCTGCATCTCAAAATTTACAGCTGGAAGAGGCTGCACTTGGAGGGCTTCCTGCTCCTAAACACACAAACTAACCAAGCACAGGAGCTCTGACGGACCAGTCCTGCCTCCGGAGTTCTTCCCTTCAGTAGAGGGGGTCATTTAAGAATCTGGATCAAGCAGGGTTTATCACGTGGAGCAAAGAGAAAGAGGAAAGTCAGGTTATCCTGTCACCCTTTTTCCTTCAGGGAGAACATTAGATTAGGTTTCAGAGAATGAGGCAAATTATGACAGTTTTTTCAATTTATCTTTCACTGACCAAAATGTTCTGTCCAAAAGCTCTTTTTTTTTTTTTTTCCTCCTGTCATAAGAGGGCAATTGAGTGCGAAGAAATTACCAGAGTGTGAAATCTCATTGACTGGAGAAACCCAGGTGAGGCTGGCAGTCAGGATCTACACTTCCCATCTTGTGCCATCTGACTTCCTGGGGCTGGTGAGTCTGCTGAGGGCCGCTGCCGCCTGAGGGCGTCTGCAGCCTTGGAGAGAGAGGGCCAGTGCGTCCGAGCGACGGCGTGGACTGAGGCTGGACGTGTGGTGGTTGTCAGCTGCTGTCGAGTTGGCCCCAACTCATCGTGACCCCCTGCACAACGGAACGAAATGCTGCCCGGTCCTGCACCATTCCCATGACGGGTTGTGGAGAAAACTGTTGTGCTCCATGGGGTTTTCATTGGCTGATTTTCGGAAGGGGATCACCAGGCCTTTCTTCTGAGGTGTCTCTGGGTGTACTCAAACCTCCAGCCTTTCAGTTAGCAGCCAAGCACATTAACCACTTACACTGCCCAGGGACTAAGCTACTTCCAAATCAATCACTTTTTCTCAAATCCTTGTCCCAGGGTCTGGGGGAGAAACTCAATCTAAGACATGAGACCATCCAGATGTGCTAATAGGTCATACCCAGGATTAAGAGAAACGGAAGAATCTTGACGTTTTTACTGGAGTAACTGGTGGGAGGATGGTCCAGCCGTCTACTAAGATGATGACTGAACGACACAAAGCCCTGTCGGGGGATGTCTGTGGGGTTCTGTGGGGTCAAGGTCGACAGCCATCCTTGCTCTTAAGTTTGTTGGTGTGTGAGTGTGTGTGTGTGGAGGTGTGTGTCTGTGAGTGTGTCTGTGTGTGTTTTGATCTTCAGTTTGTGTGTGTATGTGTGTCTGTGAATGTGTGTGTCTATGTGTGTGTCTGTGAGTCTGTATGTGTGTCTGTGCCAGTGTGTGTGTGAATGTGTGTGTGCACGTGTGTGTGTGCGTTGTCTCGCGTTTAAATGAGAAGTACCCTTCCTCCCAGCGCTCCCTGTGGAAATGAAACGTCCCGTTCCAGTGGAACCTACTGCCAATTTCATACCCAGGAGAACAGACCCCGCAATTAAATACATTTTTGAGGACTACGGTTACTGGGGTGGGAGGTAGTGTTTAAACAGTTTGCAGGCATTTTCAGAGAAGATCAGTTACATGAAAAGGCAGGCTGGAATCACCCAAAGTCCGAGTG